ATATATATATATATATATATATATATATTTACACACACACACACACACACACACACACACAGTCTCATTAATAGATTATCATAAGCCTCATGATAATACTGTGAAATTGATAAGTAGACCTACCCACTGTACTGAATAAAATGTATAAATAAATAAATAAAAGAAAATATTTTTAAATTAGTATTTGTTCATTTACTTTTTTAAATATTAAATTAATTGATTCTAAAGATTACATTTGCATATTTCCTAAATATTAAATTTTATTTAATTTGATAACACTCTGAAATTGATAAGTAGGCCTACCCAATGTGATGAATAAAATATGAAAATAAACAATTAAATAAATAAAAGAAAATGCTATTAAAAAAGAATGTACAATATACAGTATATTTATTATTTTTTATTTTAAATAGTTTTAATATTAAATTTAAATATTTCCTAAATATTAAATGAAATGAAATGAAATTTAATTTGATAACACTCTGAAATTGATAAGTAACCCTACCCAGTGTGATAAATAAAATATTAAAATAAATAATTAAGAGAAAATACTATTAAAAAAGAATATATATTTAATTAAACACTTCTTAAATATTAAATTGTTTAATAGGATAATTCTGTAAAATACTTAAGTAGGCCTATCCAATGTAATAAATAAAATGTAAAAAAAGGTAAATATTACATCCATTTTTCCTAAATGTTACATTTAAAATATTTTACAAATATTATTATATTAAATAACAAAGTTTAAACTTTTTTGAAATATTAATTTTTTGAATACTATAATTTAGTTTTAAAATAATAAATATTTCTCTCATATTTCATTATAAAACATTTTGCTTGCTCTTGGGGTTACCTCATACCTCACTTGGTGGTTCCTTGCGTTTAGGAACCCCTAAACCAGGAACCCCTAGAGTCAATAGTCCCACCCTCAGGCTTATTGCGGACCATACTGTGGACGTCCTGGAGCTGAAAAGATCCATTCAGTGCTGGTTTCCCCAAGGGAAGCTCTTTGACTGTGGGGCCCTGGCCTCTAAACACAGGCCTGCTATTGTCCATCTGGCCTCTGATTGGTTTGAACCACTGTACTTCACAAGCACAAGACCTGACAATTTCTCACAAGCACAGCAGTAGGAAGAACATGCAGTCATAAACACAATGTCTTTGTTTTTCAGATCCAGAACTTGGCAATCCGCTGCATTCAGAAAAACATCAAGAAGAACCGGGGTGTGAAAGGCTGGCCGTGGTGGAAGCTCTTCACCACCGTCCGTCCTCTCATCGAGGTTCAGCTTACAGAGGAACAGATCCGTGGCAAAGACGTAAGCGCCCGTCATCTTCGCTAACCACTTCAAATGCTCTAAATAGGCATGTCATGTACAGGTTTTGCCTTTTGACAATAGCACAGCTGAATTTAAAGCCCATCTGTGTGGCTTTTAATGTCCCTCTCGGTTTCTCCGCCCTGTGGGGGTCCCTCTCAAATTCAACTGCAGCACTCAGTGAAACCCAAAGCGCCCGTCTCTTTGATTACTGTCTCTGCGGCTTCGCCTCAATCCGAGTGTTTGTAGAGTTGTGTGTGTTTGTGTGTGGGGAGAGTGGCAGGGTTGTGTGTATGCATACATTACCTATGTAGCTAGCTGGATCAAAAGCAACTCTGCTTCCCGCGGGGGAGTGCATTAGCATGTCACAGAGCGTGTGCGCGTGCGTGCGTGTTTCGTCCGCTGGGCTGCATCCCGCTGAGTGCCTGTGTAGCCATGCAGTCAGGCGTGCTCCTGCGAGAGACAGACGGGTGCTGACACTGCCTCCAAACAGCCCGCTTTTAAAAAAACAAACACAGAGTCACTGTCTCCTCTGCACAAACAGCCTTCATAGCTGCAACCGATTGGCTGTAGCCTGCAGTTCTCTAAAGTTGGCAAAAGAAAAGTTTAGGAAAGTGGGAGGAGGTTTGCGGTACAGAGTCGCAGAGACTCAGAGAATAGGGCAGGGTTTCTACCTGTCTGTCATTCTGTTCTAATTTATCTCACATGTCTATCTCTATACTTCGCTAAATATAGTGGCTGTCATTGTGTCTGAATGTCTGACTGTCTGTGGTCATTTTTCTACATACAGTATCAGCTGAATTTTGTCATCCTGTGTTTCTGACTGTCTTATTATTGTGTTCCTTTAATTGCCTGTCTATCTTTTAGGAGGAAATTCAGCAACTCAGGTTGAAGCTGGAGAAAGTGGAGAAGGAGAGGAATGAGTTGAGACTCAATAGTGATCGACTGGAAAGCAAGGTTAGTGCTGAAAATCAATTCACTTAAAATTAAATTGAGATTGACTTCAAATTCAGTTCAGATTCAATTCAAATTCAATTTAAAGAAACTAAAGTTTACAAGTTTATCACATTACCAAATACCAATGTTTCAGTAAGCAGTGCCAATGGTATTTCATGATTCCAGATTAGAAATTTGTGATAACAGCAAAAATGAATGGAATTACACTAATTAGTATGTTTTATTTAAGAAGTTACATATTAGTATAAATATCAACAAATAAAATTGGTTAAATTTAAATAAATAATTCAAGTTAACAGCAAAAATGTATGGGGTAATAATAATTAACATAACCCCTTTTATTTAAAAAATACATGTTAATACAAATATGAACAAATAAAACAATGCCATAAAATGAATTATTCCAGAAAACGTTATTGAAGTATTTTATACAATAATATTTTATATTTAAATAATATAATTGATTTACATTAATTTATATAGTATTAATAATAATATTTAATATAATCAAATAGTATACATTTAATGTATATTCTTCATATAATATATTTGATTATTTATTATTCAAGCAAACAAAAACTTATTTTTTTGTAAAAAAACAAACAAAACAAAAACAAATGAATTAAAAGGTTACAGCAATTTCTCAAGTATTCAAATAAACATTCAGTAATGGGAAAAAAAAGGACATTTAATGAAAGTAAATTATTAAATGACTGGCACCATCTGCAAGTGCATGATTTTTAGATACAATACAATGCTAAAGGTATTCAGCTAACAGCTTTTTTTCTTCGGAATGTTGTTGTTTAATTAATACAACCAGCATTATAAACAGAGATCGGTCTGTTAGAATAACATCACAATTCAAGCATAATGTGAAACATATTTTGACAAATATCTAGGGTTTTTTGTTGCCATTTTTGTCAATTTGATTCCAAAGCGTAATGCATCCCTACATTTACATGTCCAATATAAGGCATCCATAATAAAATTCCTACATCAGGTTATTTCTATACATATATCAGTATTGCATCAGTGTACAAAATCACACCACACAGTCACAGACACCCAGACCTCACGCCGTCACCATCTCACCACATTACAAAAAAATCCATCATCTGTGTGTGAAATATGTGAGCAATGATACAGATGAGAAGTGCTGCATATGTGTGTGAGATGAGCTCATACACTACTCTAAAGTTTGCATAGAGCATGTGTGACACATCTCGTGGTCACACACTTCATGTTCGCTCATTATATGTGTGTTTCAGATCACAGAACTCTCATCAGAGCTCGCCGATGAGCGCAACACAGGCGAATCCACCTCGCAGCTGCTGGAGTCCGAGACCTCGGAGAGACTGAGGCTCGAGAAAGACATGAAGGATCTACAGGTACCACATGCACTCTTCTGAACAGAAACAGAGTTGTGACTTGATGGTTTTCTGTGAGGAAATCTCCTCATGCCTGAAATAGATATTTTCTGCCTATGCACAGACAATGCAGTTCATGCAGCAGAGCGTGAGCTGTATACAAATTGTGTCGTCTCATATCAAATATCAATGTGAAAGACGTAGTGTGTGTGAGCGAGAGACTGCAGGTGTTTGTCTCTGTATGCCTGGAGTGTGTGTGTGTGTGTGAGTTTTTATATGTCTCTTAGGCTCAAGGTTGCCTGTGTGAGCAGATGGTCTGAGTATTTCCCTGCAGAATAGAGAGCTGATGTGCTCTGCGTTTGTGTGCGTGTTTGCATGTCAGGCCAAGTTTGACGCTATGAAGAAGCAGATGGAGTCTATGGAGATGGAGGTGATGGAGGCACGACTCATACGGGCATCAGAGCTCAATGGGGAAATGGACGACGATGACACTGGTGAGTTTGTGATGTCATTTCCTGGACGGAGGAGTTTTGAAATCAAACATCTCGGTGAAGGGATTCCCTCATGAGCGTTGGCTGAGCTTTGAGCAAAGCTTTGAGCGAAAACTATCACAGCCTTCCTGAATCGTTTTGGCAGAATTGAAGGGTTATCTGGGAGGATTTCCATGAGTGTGGCGGCCCATGACTCTCTGGTGAGGAGGAGAGCTTCAGGTGTGCTGAGCGTTTCAGTGTGGCACCTCCAGACAAATGAGAAAATAATCTGCAGCGTCAGAGCTGCTGCTCCTCATTAAGCTGTTTATATGGAAATGCCAGGGGGCACTGAAAACACCAAACATACGCACGCTGTCTCTCTCGCTCTTTTTCATTCCTTTATACTTGTGCTTCTGGAACTTTCCATGAAGAGAGAAAATTTGGTTTCTCATTATTTTTTTAAAGTATTAGAGAAAATCCACGTGTTTTGCTTTGAGAACTGTTAGATACAAAAACTCTATCTAACATAAGATTAACCTAGCATGAAAAGTAACTTTTAAACCCATCAGATACATTTTTTGGGCCCACCTCAAGAGATCTTCTTGACTGTATCCAACAATTCAATAGATTTACCATCAAACTATTGCTAAAGCTTATATTCAGTTAGTAAAGTAATGCTTTGTTGCACATTTTGAATGCAACCCTGTTCATGTCTGATTTTGTGAATTGTAATGCTGAATAGACTAGACCCATTCTGCATCATGATGTGAAGACAAGTAAATTATTTTATTAGAATTTTCCAGTTTTACAAATTTTACAGTGTTGACTGCATTCATCAAGCTTAACTTGTAAATGGGTTGAATGGTTATTTAATTTTAATAAATATTTTTCTTAAATTATAGAAAATACTGCAAACCAACATTTAGCACCAAACTAGCTAGAACCTGCTAAGTGATATCTTAAATTTGAAACCGTTACGGATACATTTTTTTTTCTATAAAACAGTGGTTTTAAACCCTGTTCTTGGAGTGCAAAAGTGTCAGTAAAGGAAAAAAAACTTAAATTTCAAATATATTTTCAAATACGTTTCCTGAAAAAACAACTGTTTTTTGCATTTATAATATTAAGAAATGTTTCTAGTGCAGCAAATCAGCATATTAGAATGATTTCAGAAGAATCATGTGACACTGAAGACTGGAGTAATGGCTTCTAAAAATTCGGCTTCGCCATTACAGGAAACATTTAAAATCTATTAAAATAGAAAAAGGTTATTTAAAATTTTTATTTTTGGTGGTCATTGAAGACTAAAGGTCCTTGCACACTGAGTCCGAAATTTTCGTATGTGTTTTTTCGTATTCGTCATCCTTTCCTATCAAAATGCTTGCTACGGATTTGAAAACGCAGAAAATCAAACCTGAACCTGAATGTTTTTATGACGGATTAAAGTTTTGGAGGCAGTGTGTAAACGTGATTGGCACAACGTGAGGTCGTATTTATTTTTATAACGTGTGAAAATTTCGGATGAGAATTTCAGATTCAGTGTGCAAAGTAGAGGTCTACACGGGTCCAAAAATTCGTACCCGAACCCGAAGAGACCCGTAAATGTGCTACACTGAACCGACCCGGACCCGTCTATTATTTTGAAAGTTGGACCCGGGCCCGTGCAGAACCAAGAAATGTCAAAAATATACTACCTGGAACCGACGCGGACCGTCAATTATTTGAAAGATGGACCCGAACCCGGCCGGGAAGACACAGACCCGACTGGACCCGATCGGCACATATTCCACAGCCCCCGAACCCGTACGGCTCCCGGGTCGGGTCCCGGGTCCTCGGGTCTCGGGTCCTCCGTGTAGACCTCTAGTGCAAAGCCCTTAATGCTCACTAAAAAGTCTTGTCAACCATAGATGTTTGAACGCTAGTTTATTTTGTCTATTATTGTTGTAGTTTACTATTAGAATCTGTAGCGAATCAGCTCAGGGGGAAATATGAATAATTAATCATAACTAGTTATAATTAATTATAAATATTTAGATCCGCTGTAAGTATTTAC